CATTTAAAAAGCAGTTTGGGGTTATCCAGACTTTAATGAGGGGATGCTGACTGTGGGAAGGTTTCCTGGCTTCATATTCTCTCCATAAAGAAATTTCTTGCCCCCATCAGACTAATCCGTGAGTCCGTGAAAGCGACACATGGTAAGATCCTTTGCCTTAATAACAAAACCCATAAATCCCTTACATATTTGTATTTATTTTCAGGCTAAACTTGATTTCTAGGTTCAAGACTATGAAGCAACATTTGGTGTTTCCTTTTCAGACTAACTGTGACTAGATACTGGGACAGAGGCTTAGGGTCTGTCCAGGAGATGTCAATGATTCCACACCTTGTATTTATGTTTCTTTTTTGTCATTCAAAAATATTTCATTTCCTTTCTTTTTATTGTATAAAAATTAACATCAGAAATAGCTTGATGCCTCATAGAAATCATAAGGAAGAGTTACAAATCAAGATTTTAAAAATTCCTTAGTATATTCACAAGAGGTGATAGCAGGTACATTTATAATTTGGTTGGAATCTCCAAAGTGGCTTTAACTTTTAACACTAATATTTAAGGGCTAGATATAACTGATTTTTAGTTGTAAAAAAAGAAGCAAGGGAGGAGGGAGGGAGAAAAGAAGGAAGGGAGGAAGACAGAAAGGAAGGAACTCCAGCTATAAGCCATCCTTTCAAATTACCCAAACAAACACAGTCCTCTGGCTGGCACCTGGATGGCCAGTCTAGCACTAGTACTCCAGGACACTGGTATCTGATTACCTGGCTGCTGTATACAAGCCTCCTTCTAACAAGGACAGAACCTGTTGTTTGTCTTTCCTACTGTATATTGGTGCCCTTATTATGGATAGTGTCCAGTTCACAGCTATTTCTCAAGGCAGAAATGCTGACATCGTTCTCAATTTTATCTAAGTACAATTTTTTTGGCTTGGCTCAATTCCTCTCCCATCTGTAGAACGGTTCTCTGCACCCTTTGCTCCCTGTTTTTGTCCTGTCTTCGGTATTCTGGATTTCGAGCAGGAGTTCAATGATGGTCATTGACTAAAATGACCACCTTAAGGCTCACCTCTTTTTCAACTTCAACCCACTGTAAATCACTTTAAATACTACTGCAAAAATGATGATGCCAAATCTAACTCTAGATTTATGTTATTTTAAAATTTAGCTTCCCAACCCCCTCTGGGATAAAACAAGCTTTTCACTGTACTAGGTACCCAGTAAGTTCACATTTCACCCATGAGTAAATATTTGGCTAAAGTTCATTGTGGCTAAGGGATGCCTGTTTGGGCTTCATTTTGCCCTGAACTTGTTTTATTTAACAAATATTTTAAAGATTTACTGAGATGGGCAAAAGAGCAAAACCCTAAATGTTTTTAAGCCTGTGGCTCTTAGCACCACCACCATAAGAGACCAAAAATAGAGGATGCAGTTGCAATATTGCATTCATTTCTCAATGTGCTCAATATAACTAGCATACTCTTTTAAAAAATCCAAGCATTCAAAACAAACAAACAAAAAAACACAGTGTTACTCCAATATATTATTATACTCAAAAAGACTTTGGGGGCTTCCCTGGTGGCGCAGTGGTTGAGAGTCCGCCTGCCGATGCAGGGGACACGGGTTCGTGTCCTGGTCTGGGGAGATCCCACATGCCGCGGAGCAGCTGGGCCTGTGAGCCATGGCCGCTGAGCCTGCGTGTCCGGAGCCTGTGCTCCGCAACGGGAGAGGCCACAGCAGTGAGAGGCCCACGTACGGGGGAAAAAAAAAAAGACCTTGGAATTTTGAAATTTACAAGGTATATTTATTTTAATAACTTATGACATAAATAGTTACTAAAATGAAGCCACGTTAAAAAAAAAACAAACTATATACATGATTTTCAACTTTTTAAGTGTACTTTTCTTTGGGAAGCTTTGTTGACTGGCTCACCACTGATTATTAGATGGTAAGCAACGTAATTCTGAAGGTCTTGAATTTAATTTGAAAAAACTGTTTGCTTAGTCATAGTCTAGCTATTGTTTTCAGGGGGTTTATAAAAATTGCCTTTTAAATTTTTTTTGGAAAAAAAGTATATATTCAGGAAATTAGGGAAAAAAAAAAAAGAGAGAGAGAGAGAGAGCCTATAGAAATCAAAGACTTTCATGGAACAAGTTTTTGCTCCACAGGAGAGTCTAGAGATGCAAAATAAAATGATCAAGGTGACCAGCTAGCTGTGTGACTTGGGCACAACACTTTAACCTCCCTGATCCAATCTTCTCACCAATAAAATGAGGTCTTTTTTAGCGCTCTAAAATGCTATGATTCGTAAGATGAAATATTATGCTGATAATATCTGAAATCAATGCCTCTTTGGAACAATGTCACAGGACTACAGAGAAGATAAACCATACCTATGTTCTGGCTACATGATTGTAGACCATAGCCACACCCATGATAAGTGAATCCAAGAAAACCCACATTAACGTTGTAGGAAAGGTAAGGTCCGTCTAACACTTTGTTGCTAGGAAAGCATTGTTGACGAGCTCTAATACAAACGGTCTGTACGATTTCATACTGTGGTCTCTGACATAGCAAGCGAAGCTTCCTGAGAAACCACAGCCTCAGCTGCTGCGTCTTTGTACAGGACATTAACCCCAATTGGTTCCTTTTTTTCAATTTTATTCTTAAATGTACCATTTCTGATCTCTCTCCATTTTGTAATCCAATTCTAATAAAGACAAAGAGACAGGATTCTGACTGCAGGGAGATGAATAAAAGTGCATCTTTAAAGACAGTCAGTTATTATTATTTTAAAGACAGACAGTTATTAAAATGTCTGGATAAATGCTGCACTCAGCCTGCAAATCACCCAGGCAGTCTGGCCCTTGGTGCACGTGGCCCTGAACTGCTTTCTCTGAAATGGAGTCACAGGAATCTGTGAACTGGAGTCTCTCGACTTTTCAGCAGTTCCCCCCGCACCTGACACTGTGTCAGGCACATAATGCTATGGTGAAACTTGTTTTGTCAACTTACTAGATGGTTATTATTGGAAAGGCCAAAAAAGAAAAAAAAAATTTAGAGCCTGTGAAGGCTTTAGGCATTTTGTAGTTTGACTGGAGATAAACATTTGCCATAATTGGAGTATTTACTAAACAAGGAATAAGCTACTTAGACGCTAAGACAGTATATTGGTAACTTTGCTTCCATTATTCCTTAATTTGTTCATTATAATCATGCACACTTGGGCTTCCCTGGTGGTGCAGTGGTTAGGAATCCGCCTGTCAATGCAGGGGACATGGGTTCGAGCCCTGGTCCGCAAGGATCCCACGTGCCGCAGAGCAACTAAGCCTATGCGCCGCAACTACTGAGCCTGTGCTCTAGAGCCTGTGCTCCGCGACAGGAGAAGCCACTGCAGTGAGAAGCCCGTGCACTGAAATGAAGACCCAATGCAGCCAATAAACAAACAAACAAATAAATAAATGAGAACTAATTATATTTTTTAAAAATCACGCACACTTGTTATTGGAATTTATTTTCTTTGAAACAAATATTGTCACTAGAGTGCTGCAGTTTTCAAAATGCATATTCATGAATGTTCTCCCTGATATAAATTGTATGAGGGAGGTTTAGAGGGCCCACAACTTCCATTCAATTCTTGTTTTAATTCTCTCTTATACCGCTCAAATATTCTGCTAGAAGGTGTCTGCATTATTATTGTTGATATTGTGTGCCAGGTATTGATGCTAAATGCATTATGCTCGCATATACGATAGCTCATTTAATCCTCACAACAGCCTCTAAAGTGGTATGATCATCCCCATCTTACGCAGGAAGAAACTAATGCTCAGAGAGGTTAAATAAGGTGTCAAGGCCACACGGTGGGGATGCTATAAGGCAAACCACAGTTTCTGCTCCAATTCTAGTCCTCATTCATAACTAAATGGGAATAAGTGATACAAACAGCAAAGCTCTTCCAAATCCTTTTGGAAGAAGGTAGGGTTTAAATTATAAATAAAAAAAGCAACCAAACGAAAGAAAAAATTTACTCACATAATTTTCCCATTTACTTATTCATACCTTCATCAGCCGTTAAATACATACGTTACCGTTGCAACAGAGAATCTCAGGAGCAGAAAAAGAGGTGGCAGCACTTAAACTGATGAAAGAGCGGGTTGTCAGTGATAAGAAGGAGAAAAGTTGATGGATCACACAATATTTTTCTAAAGGTCTTGACTCCCTGTGGAAAGTTCTAGGTGGAAACAGTAGGGTTCCTGGCAGAGTGAAGTCTCTAGGAGCTTAGGAAAAGGTGAGGTGCAGAAAAAATGAGGGCATCATAATGACAGTATTTTTACAGGACATACACCCACAGAAAGCACAGAAGCAGGTTTTTCAGGTATGATCTCACACCAACCTGACTCTCTGAGACAGACATCACCATCACCACTTTGGGGATGAGCAATAGAAAAGCATGCACCTAGCCAGTGACAGTGTCGAGATTCAAATCCAGATCCCTCTGAGCCTGAAGCCTTGTACCTTTTCAGGGTGCCAGGCTGCTCTAAGTGGTCCTGCTGCAGTGTTCTTGCCAGGTAAGAACTTGTAGCGGGCAAACAAGGAAACCAAAAAGAAGACCCTAACTTGGTGGGCAGGACAGAGAAAGTACACAGAGCTGTAAAATAAATGAGGAGGTTTATCTAACAATCTGTACTATTAATTAAATTTAGCTATCTACCAGCTAAGTGCTCTGCGGCTCCATGGTAATTATCAAGCCAGTCAGAATTTCTAATAGTGCTGATAACTAAGTATGATAGGATTATGCTTTTTTCCTTCTCAGGGCTGAAGCAAAAAAGTTTCTCTAAAGCCAAGGTTTTCATTTTTTTTCTTTTTTTCAATTAGTTACCAGTCCAGAATTATCCCAGAGACCTCAAGGATTGTTAGAGCTTATTTTCACTTATGTAGGGAAAAAGAAAGAAAGAATTCTTCCTGGGTAGAAGCAAGAGCACAGAAACACGCTTTCTGGTCTTTCTCGCCTCAATCTGGACTGTTGTCAACAGACTCAACTCAGCAGAAAAGCGACAGGAGTAGGGCAATGAACACCGCCCATGCCTAATAACCTGATAACTATCAATAAATAAATTAAAATTTTACGATTTTTGAACCATAAATATACTTCACTTTTTAAAACAGGATTGTCAAAAAACAATGTTAAGTATTACCCTAAAATTGTGTGTTAAATGAACTTTCGTAAATAAATCTTAAATATGGAAGGTTAATTAATATTTCATTTTGGAAATATTCTGCTGTGAAATCCAGTTTACTAAGGAGACTAACTTTTTCACTTTAAAAAAGTGTTTTGACTGAATCTTAACACACAAAACACCCCCGATTTATGTATCTTGTAAATGTAGATTCTTTTATGGTAAGAATACATAAAATAGGTTAATGAGCATTTGTTTTAGGTTCAAAAGTGCTTAAACATCACGTTAAAGATATAACATAGAATGAAGCTACTTTACTATAAATTATAGTTCGTATGCTTGTTAGCAGAAAACTTTTCAAACCTATAATGCTTTGTTAGTTTGGGGCAGAATATTGGGTAAATTCAAAATAGTTAAGAATTAAGATAGAAAGAAAGATGGTTCTCAACTCCCAGATATGGGCTTCTTTGGAGAAAGTGAAAATGGATTTTTTTTTTTAAATGAGAAATGAATGATAAACTACTTTTTAAAAAGGATATTACATATGCTGTTAGTCATTTAAAAAAAATGACCACAGAAACTTTGATTCACATTTTTCTGGTGACATAGCCCCCCTTGTAAAAACGTATACACATACCAATATGTTATGTGAACTGCAATCTTGTAGTGACTTCAAGGAAAAACTTGTTTTTATAAAAGAACTCACATTTTCCCATGCTTCCTCACTTCTTGTGCAAGAACTTTAATGAGATTCGAGTAAACTGTGTTTTATTTATTTTCCTTTGTTCTTCCCTTCTTACTGGAAGAGAACATTATCTGGATATAATCATGTGCAAAGAGAATGAATTATGAGTAAGGAGATGCTTTAAATCAATGACCAACAATTAAAATGACTAACCCTGCCACCACTTTGGGTATGGCAACTTAATTTTACCAGGACAACGTATTTTATTCTAAGGCAAAAAATGAACCCACAGGAAGGAATGCTATTTCAGTAGCCTCCAATTTCGTCTTTGCAGATTTAGCCTCTCTCTCTAACCCAGCTGACTAAACTTGAAGTTGTGTAGTGGTGGAAATACAATGTGAAAATCTTTGGCCTACTTCCTCAGCGTCTCTGGAGACTTTGTTTTTCTCTCAGCTTACTACCCCATAACTTGCCAAATCATTGTTCCTATTCACTAAACTATCAGCAAGCCTGTCTGGTGTTCCAGCCACCTGGAGCTGACAGATATTTTCCTAATATGAAGGATGCTATAGCAACTAGATTTGTGGCATGGATACAAACCAGGCATAATGGTGCTACAATTTAAGGTGAGAAACAGACACATAGCACCCGCATCAGTATTACCCCAAAGAGTGTCTTGAGAACTCCAAATTCATTATATTTTAGGACTAAGTTCTTTGGACACAAGACTGCAAATTACCCCAGCCCTAAGAGAAGGAAGGCAGTAATTCAGATTGGAAAGATCTTATGTTTCAAATCTGCCCATTTCTTACAAGCAATGACCCTTGGACAAGTTAACTGTACCTCTCTAAACCTCAGTTTTTTCATCTGTAAAATGGAGATAATAGTCCTGCCTCAAAGGATGGCTGTGAGGATGAAATGAGATGATATCTATAGTGTGGTTGGCAGATGAGAAGCACATAATAACTAATAGCTTCTGTCATTAGGCTAAGGAAAGGGGTGATGAATATTTACAGGGCACAAGGGAAATGGTCTCCAAAATAGGAGGCAGATGAATACATTAGAAATTTCTATTTGTGTTTATTTTTAAATATTTTATTTAAGTATTTTTAGATATTTTAAGAAATAAATTGTTATGCCAGGATTCAATATCAGGATTTGATACAAGGTGCCCTCACTTATGATGCAAGCCTGCTGGTGGCTTCTGAGGGAGGGTGGGGGTCATAGAGTATTATGGGGGGACACTGGTCATTATAGGTACATGCACATTTTCAGTACTGCCATGTGTCACGATGTACTGCAGCACACATGTACCCGATTGAGAAAATATGTGGAATACATTGCTTACTTTTAACCAAACTAACCCTCACAAAATGGAGAAGTGACTTAAAAAGACTCTTGCAGAGAAAACATGAAGAGAAGATGACATTAATTACCAGCACAAGTTGTCAGCGAGAAGGTAACAATGCTGAAATTTCCCTACTAGGGAAATTTCCCTACTATAGTACTAGGGCTATAGCAGTCACATCTACAAGGTAAGGACAATGTAAATATGTTCAGACCAGACAAGAAGTCAGCTGGAATGATTAAAATTGTCTGGAAGATTGTTTGAAATGAAGATGTATGTAATTGTTGATGAACTTCGGCCTTTATGACTTGAGATAGTTAGTGATAGTGGAACATGTATATAACTTACAAAATACAGGGAGCTCCCTGGCAGTCCAGTGGTTAGGACTCTGCTTTCACCGCCATGGCTCTGAGTTCAATTCCCTGTCGGGGAACGAAGATCCCGCAAGCTGAGCGGTGCCGCCAAAAAAAAAAAAAAAACAAAAAAACACCCAAAATACAGAAAATACAGAGAGCTATATTGGAAATACTGCTCAAAATCTTGTTATTGATAGGCGTATACATTCAAAAGACTGTGTGGCCACTGTGCTAGGGAATGTGAGTATGGGGCAGGCACATTGATTGCATGCTTCCCAACCTTTTTTGCACAACATGGCCCATGCTGCATTTGTACCGCACACTGGGATAAACGACCAGGCTAGGCTGCTGGAGGCCCAAGGTTATCAGATGGGGCCTTTGGCTACCCCAGGCCCTGCTCAGCCAGCCCAAGGGCTGGGGGGATTAGTATCTTCAGCAGACCTAAACCCATTCAGAGCATACCCATGTCCCATGAGATGCACCTCAAAGCACATTGGTTGGAAACTCAGTTTTACAGACAGATTTAGGCAGGGCTAATTATTGAAAAATACAATTATTTGGGTCTAATTGAATAAACTCTATAGAAGAGGGGACAGAAAGTTTTTTTGGTTTTTTTGTTTTTTAATATGGACCTCTTAAGAATCAGCCCAATAGAATTTGTTTGTATCGTGAGTGGGCTTGTTGAGAGAAGTTAAATATTATGCTATCTCATTCTCTCCAATCTGATAAAGGAACAAATTTTATATATTTAGAAATATTCTCTTTCCTCTCTGTCTGTGAGCACATTCCTCTTCCGTATGTTCAGCATTCAATACAGTGCTACTCACACAGTAAGTGCTACTACATGTTTGCCAAACAGACAAACAAGCCACAGTTAAGCTAAAAACACTGTTCATCAATCCTTATATTCACACCCAGTTAAGGTTCTTTTTCTGTTCCTCTCAGCAGCTAGTCCAAAACTTTGCCACTGATTACCAGTTCCCAGCCCTCATCCCATGCTATTTACTCACTCTTGGCTGATTTTACCTCTTCCTTCGATGAGGTCATCAAGACCATCCTACAAAGCTGTCTTAACACCAAATATTTGGACCTGAGTCATTTGGTGTAAACCCACGCTCCCCCTCTGCCAAGTTGTCTTTGACCTCCTCCTTATTAATCAAACCCACCAGTCACAGGCGGATGCTTTTGTTGAAATATCTCCCCTTTACCCTCCTTCTTCTGCCCAACACTGGTTCAACTAGACAGTCAACTCTTAAGCACCCCAGGCTCATCTGCACCAGAGCCTCTGCCTTTTTCTGTTTTCTCCATTTGACATGCTCTTGCCTCAGAATCCACAGATGCCCTCCTTCACTCTCCTTCCTTCGTGTCTTCATTCAAGTCACTTCTTCAAGAGGCCTTCACAGCCACCTTTTCACAAAACTTAGCCCTTTTTGTTCACATTCATACCATCTTACCCTGTTGTATTCATTCTCCTTATCAGTTGACACTAAAATAAACATTGTTTGTTTATGTTGTTCGCTGTATGTCTTCTCCACTAGAACATAAACTCCATGAGGGCAAGAACTCTGTTTTCCTGTTTTTCTTATTGATGTATCCCCATAGCCTAAAGTTGGGCCTGCCGCACAATAGGTACCCAATTAATATTTGTTGACTGAATGGAGGGATATGGGTTGTGGATGGACCTATACATGGTATCATTGCTTCCTCTCCAATCTACCCTTTTACCAGAACATTCCTCTTAAGTTACGAGTTAAAAATCACCAGTCTCCTCATAAATTGTTAATAGCCATGCATGGTTTATGAAATAATATCTAAAAGCCTTCAAAGATCTAGCCCCAATCTGCCTTTCCAGCCCCATTTCCCGATGCAGCTGTCTCCCCATACACCCTGAAGTCTAGTCATGCTGGGCACGCTGGGGGACCCTGTATTCATTCTTGAACACATACAGCACTTTAAAGTCTTCGTGTTTTCTGACATATATCCTTTGGTCTCTGAATATGTTTCCTACTTTGCCCTCAACTAACATCTATTGGTGTTTCGAGGCCATGCTCAAATGCCATATTGTCCACGAAGCTTTCCCATTCTTCCAATTAGATTTAAACGTGTGCTCCATAGTGCATTGCCTTATGACTCTAATTAGTATAAAAGTCATTCTCCCTCCAGTTGTGTCCATATCTGCCCCCAAGATGGGACTATAACATCCTCGAACAGGCATTATAGGCCCGTCTTCTTTTCACAGTTTCTCACATGTAGTAGATTATCAATAAATGTTTGTTGAAATGAAATACACAATGTCACTAGCTGTGGATTTTGAGACAAGAGAATTGTAGTAAGATAGGCATTTAGATCCTTTATAGAAGTAATACACCAATACCAAATCAGTGGATGTCAGGGAGACTGAAAAGAAAAAGAAAATTATAGCTTAAACCATCATAAAGTAGGAAACTTTAACAGTAAACTCTAAACCTATGGATATCTTATTTCTCTCTGCTGTAATGCCTGGCACAGAGAGGTCACTTAATTTGGAGTTTGATCCTCAGCTAAAAACAAACTGCTTTTATTTAAACTGAGTACCCACTAGTGTTGTTTAACCATTTTGTGGTTTTATTCAAGTATTTGCAAGGCCCAAAGAAAACCAGTCAGAATGCCTCCATGTTACATAAGGGTTACTTCTGTTCGTGGAGTAATTTAGGGTTAATTCAAGGGTATCTCATCTGCTTGCTGGGTTTCTCCTCCCCAGGCCTGTCTGTAATGTATATAGCTGCTCCCTGGCCAGGCCCAGTACAAACGGTCCAGTATGCAGGATAATAAGCACATGTGGAAAGAACAGTAGTTCTCAGGAGATTGTTCTAAATCATTGTTCTCTTGTGGGGAGTAGAGAACTAGTAACGGGTCTCCTGGAGGCCCCTCTGCAGAGGCTGAAGGGGAAGGGTACTCCCGTCTTGAACTCCCTCCCCTCTGGTTTGCTGGCTGCACTCAGGCCCTTCCTTGGCGTCTTGTCAGAGCTCCCTGGGCTGGGGATTCAAGCAGCTGGCTCTCTCATTCACCTCTAGCTCAGACAACCAGCTCGGCTCAGCTCAGGCTACAAAACCCACCACCTTCACCCCCATGTGTAGAAGCCACTCCCAAGGCATAAACTACCACGCCAGCCCCGGGAAGGTGCTTCTCCTCACTCTTTCACAACTTGACTAGGAAGGAGGCCACTTCAAGAAGCTTCCCTGATTATGAAGATTTAGATTTCCTGGAAGGTAAACCCCCCAGGACTTCACTTTCCTCGGCTCCCTCCACCCCCGACCTGACGCTCTAACATTACTCCTGGGCTTGGTTGCAGCCCGTGTGGGGATTTATTTGCCTACGTATTACTGTGTTTGTATTCATGTTTGAAGCTGGCATTCCTTCACCATTTACACAGTGAGCGCTCTGAAGCAGGGACTTGCCTTACTTATTGGGCAGTATGCCCAACAGGACCATTTAGAAATGTCTTTAAACAAGTCACATGCTTCTCTGCCCTTTTAAGACAAGATGGCCAGGCCCACTAAGGAAACGTTCCACCCACCAGCAGCCCTTTGCTCTGGCTTCTTTACCAGGGGAGTGGCATTATTAGTGGGGATGCATTTCAAGGATTATCCCAAGAAATGAAAAAAGAAAACCCTCCCTCTTGAACAAAGAGGCAAGCGATGGACGGTAGATCTCAGCAGTGAGGCCCCCTGACCAATTTATTGGTGAGGCTGTAAAACAGAGAGTGGTGTTTCTAATTCAGCTCAGTGTTCAACTGACTACACGACCCTGATTTGATAGAAGATTATTTCCAGTATTCCTGTGGTTTTTCCTGATATAACTTGCAGAAACTATTATGATAAAATGGCTTTACTTCTGCCAGTTATTCCCTGTAAAAGGAGATTAAATGAGGGATTATAAAAAGCTTCCACAATTTACATAGTTTTCCTCAGAGTCATTTAACACGTAGATTCAAGTTTTCCCTTCTTAACTGTTTTTAAAATCAGTTGAACAAAAAAGTTCAACCATTAGAATTTCCATCTCTGTCAGTCACAGTCTATTTTTTTTAATAAAAATGGATAAGACAGGCTTTTTAGGCCTCTCCGAATGCTAAGATTATTGTTTCCTTAGAGAGTTTTAAAACTTTGGCCTCAAAGGTTACCTTATTTTCAACATTTTCTAAATTAAAGAAAGGAAGAATGGTAAAATTGGAAGCCTGGTAAGAAGTTGAAACTTGATTGCTTTAAGTATACCCTGGTTCTTTGCAAAGAATCTAAAAAAGGCAGCATTGAGGTCAATACAATTATATATAATTGATCAGGCAAGCCCCTGATTATTAAAAACTTTATTATGATTATTAAAACAATGCCAGTGTCTTATTTGCCATTTTTCATATTATTTATGAATAATATCATGTTAACTATCTTTGTTCAGAAGGCTTTATCTACTTTTTTGTTTGTTTGTTTTAAACCACTCCCTTAGGATAATTTCCTAGAAGTGGATTTACTGGATGAGAGGGTTTTGATAAATGCGGCCAAACTGCTTTTTCAAAAAGATGGCTATATGTTCTTTTTAAAACATATCTAGCCACAGATAAATCAAGGCTCTCTCCAAACAGAGACAGTTGATTGACAGTTTCAATTTTTAGCTAGCTAAGTGTAATTAGTAGGGCTTAGATAGGACTAGTAGGTTAACCATTTGTCTACTGGTGATGGCATACACAGTTTTTCTAAAAACTAAAACAGCCTAAAACAGTCTACATGCTATTACACTCTAATGGTCAAATTATTCCAGACACACAAATGGGTACCCAGACTCTGTCCCAAAAGGTGTGTGATTATAGTATACCACGAACTAGATAATATTTTCAGAAAGATACAGAAAGACTGTATTCTGTATACACTTGTACATTCTGTATAATGCTGTTCATTCATTCAACAGACATTGCTTGAACACCAACCACTTATGAGAAACTATGGTAACCACCAGGGAAACAAAGAAACATGGAGTTTTCCCTGTCTCTGAGGAGCCTACAAAGGGAGAGAGATATGTAAATAAAGAATGAAGTAGAAGATAAGAACTCCATCAGAAGTTATACTATGGGAACCATGAACGAAGAAGCTTCTGACTCTACGGAGGAAGAATATTAGGGAAGGCTTCAAAGGCTGGTAATGTTTAAAGCTGCTTCGGAGGATGAAAAGAACGATAAAAAGTAGTAGAGAAAGTATTTAGTGGAGACCGGGACTGGAATGAGCGGAGCATGGAGGTGTGGAAGCGTCAGGGTCAAATCGGTGGGAGGGGGAGGAGGTACATGATGGTACACTGATTAGTTCTCTCCATGAAGGGCTCTAGGGGTTCGAAAGAGGGAGGAGATCAGAAGAGGGTCAAGAGAAGCCTCTGAATGATGAGCAGGATTTGTTAAGGAAGAGAGGAAAGGAATATTCCAGGAAGCGAACAAGTGACTTTAAAGTTTTCTAAGTGTTTTCACACATATTATGCCATTTGACCTCCACAACAACCTTATGTGGTAAGGTAAACATTCTTATACATTCTTTTTTTTTTTCTCATACATTGTTATTCTCATATTGCAGCAGAAGAACTACGAGTCAGTGAGCTTAAGTGACTTGCCCAAGGTCAACACAGTTGAGTGTGGGCAGCTGTGCTTCAACAACTCAGTGAATGGTGCCCAGCGGGATGGTTTTGTTTGGAGTGTGGCGTATTGGCCGCTGAGATTGGCAGGTCTGACTTCTGACTTCTGATGCTGTTTGCACTATATTAACCTGCTATCATGTTTATCACTTCAAATGAAAATGGTTTAAAATGAAAACACACTAATGGCTCCTATCTTTTACTTTTAATATTTTATATACTGTTGTTTTTATTAGAATATTTTGGAAAGATGCTCTCCTCTCTCTTTCTCTCTCTATAGACATATCTCTATACCTTATATGAAGATAAGAATGTATTTATTTAAATATGGTGTATATGTATACATAACATGTTAGAAAATATTAGGTAACTTAATTTGCACTACCATCCATTTCCCTATATTAGGAACTTTAAAAAATTATATATATTTAAACGTACTAGATCAAAGCAGTGCTGCACCAATTTTAGCCCAACTTCTACAACTTCAACCTATTTGAAGGAATTCCTGGTATTTCCCAATGCCAGGAATTGTGATGAGAAAATCAAAGGATAATTCCACATAGAGGAAAGAGATGAGTACAAGTACCTTCAAGAGTAGGCTGCTGCAAACAAAAGTACTACTGTGTAAGATTATAGGATGTTGTTTTCAGTGACCCAGAATTTTTCAGCTTTTTTCAGTCTAAGGAAACAGAGGCAACTTTAAAAATGACATATATACTAAAAACTAACAGTGCAAGACACATTATAAATATCTTGCTGACATTTGAAATGTCTCTGGAAGTCAAAGAGATGGCTAGACTTATTCACTATATTTTTAAGCAGTGAAACTGATTTATTAAAAGGTTAGCTCTCTTCCTCAAGGTTGCCACGGTAGGCAGCACAGGGTAGTGGCTGAAATCCAAGGCTTCTGACTGTTACCTTGGTCCTTGCAATAAATTCAAAACGTCTTCATCAGGTTTGACATGGGTATTGTCAGAAATTGGCAAATATTCTTTCCCACATTAGAAAAACAGGTCTGGATGCTACCCTGCCACACGTCAGCATATGTCAGCACATGTGAGTTTAGCTCTCGCAGAATATACTGGCTGGCGTATCTGATACCCTCTCCCACACACAGATACGAGTCTACACATCAGGAAGAGTATGTTCCAGAATTTCAGAGAGACCATCTCGCACACATTTCTAAATGACTGCGTAAGTTGCAGTGAGCCTACGGAGAACCCTGCCTACTGATATTTTCTTCATCTCATTCTTCAAATCTAGATTATAGGAAACAGGTTAGACTTCTGAAAATACAGTAAGACAAAATGTTCAACTTTCAGTTTCTGACTCCCCCAATAAGAAAAGACATCAATGTGGCATTTACGATGAAATGCGTGGAAAGGGCCCTGTAGAAACAATATGGTTGCTCGTAATGGCACAATCTCATTCAAAGGTGCCAGGAACACTAATGAGACCTGGATGTCAGGAAAAGCAGAAATAGATCAATACTTCTCCCCCACTTGTAGTTGCTCCACCATCAGTCACTGCGCTTGCTCTATGTAAATGAAATCAATCAGCAAGGATTTCTGTAAAATGCATAAAACAGTTGTCTTCTAGACTCTCCCAGAAGATAAATGATTCCAGACGTTGGACTGCAGCCATTTTCCCACACATGCTACAAAGTTCTGACATCCATATTGGGCCATAACACTGAGTGGTTTTGCAAGCTTACAGCCAGTGCTTCCACTTCTGGTTTGGACTAGAGAGCTTGCTAACGCAGATGCAAAATAAGTCCCCTTTTGACTGTGTAAATTGTAAGAGAATTGCCTTTTTCTAATACAGGGGCTCCTGTGATCCACCTCAAAACTTTTTGCTATTGCTCACATAAGCTTATCATTCCAAATCACTGCTTTAGATCTCTTCAGAATTAGACCAATCCCAGACTAATAAAACATATGACCTGTGGCATCAAATGCAGACCTCTTAGATGTAAAATACAACAACAAACAGCACAAGTCCAACTTTGTTTTAAAACTAACACGTTTGGAAATGTATTAAACATACACAGCAGAATTGTTTTATATGGCAGCTTATAAAGAAGATCCAGAAGCAGCCTCCTTTAAAAACTACGTCAACACAATAACATTATTAGGAAAGGCATGTAGAAGTTTAGGTCATATTCATGGCTATTTATGTAACCGATCTCAGGGAATTAAATATCCAATAGACAGCATTTTCTGTCAGCGTCTTAAATCTGAGAGATGGGTACTTTCTCACTAAATTGCCTTTGAGGAAAAATACAGGTAATTTTGCCCACAGTTCAAAAAAATAAGAAAAAAGTCTGATATCAATAGTCTGAGATAAAAGCAATTCTCTGAGGTTAAATAAGAGTAAATAAGTATCTTACTGTAACTTTCAAATGTTTTTAAAGTGAAAAATTAAAATGAGAGGCACTGCTTTAAATTTTAAATCAAGTTCTTGTTAAAAGATTGTCCTTCTAAATATCAAGTACACCACAAAGAAAACTTTATGTATCCATAACAAAACTCTCAGTACAAATAGGAAGTAACTGTTGTCTTACCCAGCGCCAGAACCTCTTCTATGGAATACAAACTCACTTTGTTTAAAACGTCCTTAGGCTGTGCTGTACCTTTGAAACAAAACCACTCTCTTCTTCATTTCATTTTCTGCTTTCTTGAAAATCGCTTCTCCGAAACTGACAGATGGTGCATCTGTCACTGAGTGTTTCCTGTTCGTTATCTCTGCCAGCTAATATTTCCCCTGTGCTTAGCTGCTGTCTGTGAGACTGTTCCACATCATTCTAGCCTGATCAATGGTGTGCCTGGTTTGAGGTTAGTCTTGGTCCCGCCTCCAGCTCTAAGAGAAAAAAATGAAAACTCACAGCTGGATTTCCTATAAATCCTCTCCTTAAAATCTGGCTCTGTAGCTATGGCACATACTAGAGGAAAAAGCTGCCAGTCTGTCACAAACCAAGGGGGGGGGTGATCCTTGCCTAAGGTCCCCCCATGCCAGTGCCAAGTGTGTAGGTTATATAACAAATCCCATGGTAACATGGCCTGAAACTACACAGGACAGGAGGAAGCATTTTAACCAGGCTTAGGTTTTTCTATGTAATGACACTCAAAAGAAGATGCCCATGACTGAAACACACACACACACACACACACACACACACATACACAAGCATGCACCCATGACGGAATAATTTTTAACATGTTAAAATTATGAAAACTGATTCCAAGGAGAAAATGGAAAAAGAAAAAGCACCAAAATAGGACATTATAAAATTGGTGTACTTGTACCTTTCTATCCTAAAACAGAGGTCGTTATTCACATTCAGATGACATTTCACCCCCTAAGCGACAGGACTGGCTGATATTTATACTACCGATGAACTTGGTGAATCAAGAGAAGGTATGGGATGCATTTCAGGTTCTAGATGAGAGAAGACTGGTCTACCAAGTAGAGCTGACTGTGTAACACCAGTCTGCTTTGTAAATCTTTAGCACACAGCGTGCATTTTTAGGCTTACATATTCTGCACAGTCAACAGTAGTCAAACCTTATCAGGTAGAAAGGCTGCACATTTATTGCAAATAGCTATGTGAGTGCTACTAAAACCAGGCTAAGGATTTGAAGACTGCACTAGGATCCAGAGTCAGAAGACTGGATTCAAGTCTCAGTTTTGTTTCTTGAACAGTGTCCTTGAACACGAAAAGCACAGAGTAAAGCTCTGGAGACCTGACAGGTGATTTCAAAATTAAATTAAGATGATAAAATACTGTGTTGTTATTATTCAACTTTTGTATTGTTCTTTTCAACAACAGAGAGAATATTAAATAAGTATAAATATTTAATCTGGCAAAGGATGGTACCAAACAAAATACCACTGCCTGCGATAAGGAAAGCTAAAGATAAAAAATTCTGGGAATAAAGTGCAGGGTATAAAGTGCATGCTGAGGATAAGAGTAACAGATTTTGAACATCTGAACTCTATCGTGAGGGCATACATGGTGAGCATAGGTCAGAGTGGGGTTGCGTAGTAAGTCTGAAACCTTAGTTCTCCTTCCACATTTTCACAGAAGAATCCTGGAACCGTCATCTGTCATTTATCTGTGAGTCCCTTAAGAGCAGGGACATACACAATTGGTGTCTGTTGAATAAGTGAGAAACCGAGCTAGATAGAGCCACTCACTGTAAAGGAGGAACTGTAGATGATTATGAGAAGCCCACGGTTGAAGTTGGAAAATCTGATTCTTCAAGGCTGAGACTACCTGTGTGTCCTTCCAGTTCTGTCAAATGTGAGGTTGGGCTTTGTAGGGAAAGAGGCTTTTTGGGTCACTGGAAAGAGAGGAGCTTCGTTTGTGGACCCCTGATCTGGTCCAGCTTTCTACACTCACCCCTAACCATCTCCCCTTCCTCACTTCCTCCCATGAGAATGTCATCTGCTGACAATGAGCCTGAGTCAAGAACCACGATGTTGGTAAACATCCCTTTAATGAAAGTACGGGGATTGTTAGGGTGAATTCTTCCTAATAGGGGATGAAAGTCCTTGTTTGCTATGGCTGGCAAGAAGGAAGCTTTCCAAATCCAGAGGAGCCCTGTTGCACGTGGGCTGGGTCAAGGGCAGCTGTGGACGCCACCAACAGTAAGGAAAGGCGGATGAGATGTGCTCCTGCCCCTACGCCGCCTGCTTCCTCACTGCCAGTGCGTTTCTGAGTTCTCGACTGAATACACTGCAAAGTTAATGTACTTTCATAATGTCTTTGGGTGTATGATCTCTTTCCCACAAGCTGAAGAATGGTACCAGTTTGGGGTAAGAGAATTTGCCAACTGCGAAGATCTAACCGGATGAATACTCTTTTAAACCTACAATGTGCAAGGCATTCTACTAGGCACCTCAGATACATGCTTCCAGCAGCAGGTTTACCATGGAACGAAGGATTACAATCCAAAACAGGATATGAGAACAGGGGGGGAGAGGAAGAGTGCAGCTGGGGGCTCAAGGCCGAAAGGTCACATCTAGTTTAGGGAATGGGGGTGGGAGAATCCAGAAAACATGACTAGGGTGGCAGCATTAAAGTTTGGGAAGGATCTACATGGGCAGAGGTGAGGGAGGACACTTCAAAGAGAAGGACACTCCTACAGGAAAGAGTGAGCTCGAAGGCACAGAGACAGGAGCAAGGCAAGCTCCAGAAATAGTGAACCACTATTTCTGGTTCCCTAAGCATAGGGAACGTGTGGGAGAACCATGGGGTATGAGACTCCAGCAACAAGGAGGAACCATACTGTGGTATGGTCTTGAATGCTGGGACGGGGTGTGGGGAGTGAATACTAAGTTCAATCAGTGATCATGGAAGTTTCTGAGCATAAGTGTAACATAATCTGAGCAGTGAGATCTAGAAACCATATTTAGGATGGTCTATAAAGGAGAGGGTAGGCAGACTGACCCACTTAGGAGGCTATTGTAATAATTTAAGCCAGAGGTCATAAATACTCAAACTTGGAGGATGAGGGTAAAAAAAGGAAGGGTGCTAGAGGCAGCTGCATAGGTAAGAGAGTCAAAGGAAATGAGTCAAAGCAAATCCCACTTTAAGCAATTTTTCCTGGAGATATTTGCAGACAGATATACAAACAAATACAAGTTTTAATTTCAGCATTGTTTGTAATCGTCAAAGATTGCAAACTACCTAGTGCCCACCAATAGGGAACTTACAAATAAATTAAGGTACATTCATATAATGAACTTCTATATGCAGGCATTTAAAATATATATGCAGTTACAGGAAAGCTGATGTAAGCTGATATAGGCTGGTGATAGGCACCAGATTGTCAGTGGTTAAGGAGTATGTGTAGAAGAGAGAGAAGTTGTAGGCAAGGAGTGAATTTATGGCAAAAGAAGGAAAATATTGGGGAGTGGAATGAGTACTGGGTGGGGACCTCAGGATTTGGATTTTACTTTCAAACTGGCACCTGTATTCCCCAGAACCAGGTCAACCTAGGGCTGTGCACTGTATAACCTACCCTTATGTATGTGTCAGCTTTGTTCACAACCATCAATTTGAAGATGCCAGAAACCTGCCTAATCCACCCCTGCCCATGTTTACGGTCAAAAGCCCAATCCCCATGTGCCTGGGCAAATCAGTAATTGAAAAGGAACACCATCCATGTTTTGGACAAAAATGTTTTTAAGGATTATACCAGCTGGCAAAGCAAATGGCACGACATCTGAAGCTTCCCATTTTTATCAAACCCTGGGCATAAGAAGCCAGCTAAGCATCACAAGCAATATCCATGCCCAGGTGTAAGTACAGTGCAAGTGCATACATGAAGCACAGCAATAGTAATTAGGCCTGATCTGCTGGTCCTCAGTCTTGTAATCCTTAAGCTAGGGACTGATACTTCAACCATCAACTCCCTTCTTTTCAACCATAGACATCTTTAATGATCACATACAAGAAGTAAAGTCCAGCCTCACAGAAGGGGTGTGAAACTTCAACAGCAGACCCTGGGGGTCTATGGCAGCTGTGTGTTGTTTGAAAGGGAACTGCATTGATCCAAAAGGGAATGGATATGGCTCCTCGGGGATTTCGTTTTCTTTTTTGCACAGAGCCAGGCCTGACGATTAAACATTTCTCATCAGCTCTGTTGAGAGGAAAACATACTGAGAAAATGGGGACTCTAAAGTGGAATGCAGCACATCATGGGAAGAGCCTTTCTAACTTAACATACAGACGATTTGCCTCGTGTGCAGAATTTGTGCAAAGCAAATTAAAAGTAGGATCTCGCAGCTGGTGAGGGCAGTATGGCTTCATGGTCTAGAGTATTTTCTCTCTTCCATGCAGTGAAAAAACTGAACTTCATGTCCCAGATGCCTGGGTTCTAATCTTGACTCTGCCAGGTACAAGCTGTGTAAGCATGGACAAGTTACTTGAGATTCCTCCTTGTTAAATGGATAACAACAGTACAACTCTTAGGGGTGTTGTGAAGATTAAGTGGGTTAATAGATGTAAAATGCTGGGAACAGAGCATGGCATAAACATTCAATAGGTGTTATCTATCATTCCACAGTGAGAATTTTAAAATATAGGTGAATACAACTACACTTAAAGGGTTGAATCTGATTAATTGCAATTCAAGAAACAGAATCCTCTGTAAGAAGAGCTAATTGCAGTACTCATCTGTAATTTACTTTAAAGTACTTGAGTATATATGGTTGATGTTACATGTGTGTTATTTAGGTAAAGCTATAACCCCGGTGCTGCTAGTATATGATGAAGCATTCAAAGCCTGAGACAATCTAGCTGGCTTTCTAAACAGGGAGCCTGAACTTCAGAATTGGCTGTTACAAACCCTGCTGGTTCCATCTCTCCATCAACAATCTCCAGCTACCATTCTGAGTGTCAAAAATGGGTTTCAACTGGTGAAAATTGTTACGTTGCCTAGCATGCTTGGTGGACTTAAGGTGTTCAAAAGTACAGACTGGCTCAAAGTATTTCGGTGTAAAAATCCAGTAAGACCTTTACCTGCACCTCTGGTGATAATGTCCTAGTCTAAATCCCTAAATAGTCCTACACATGTAATCAGTATGATTTGGTTATAAGGTTTTAGTGAGAGTAGTAGTTGATCCTCTTTTAACTCAAAACTTGCTTCTTTGGCCACCCTTATTTAC